GATGGTGCAAGTGGATCATGGGTTGTGTCAGGAGTTGTCATTATTCAGTACTAGTGAATGGGACAGTGGTAGATTTCTTTCCAGCCAGTAGGGGTTTAAGACAAGGAGACCCCCTGTCTCCTTTCTTGTTCATTCTAATTGCGGAGGTTCTGGGGAAACTGATTCACAGAGCAGATGCTAGGGGGCTCATTAGAGGCTGGAGAGTTGGGAGGGTGGAAACCCCCCTCACTCATCTACAGTTTGTTGATGACACGATTCTATTTTGTGAAGGCAGTAATGTGAGCTTGATCAGGAACTTGAAGTTGGTGATACAACTGTTTGAGCAAATGTCTAACTTGAAGGATAACCTTGGGAAAAGTTGTATAATGGGGGTGAACCTGGAGGAGGGAGAGCTCAGGGAGAGTGCTGAAATGTTGGGGTGTGAAGTTTCGGGGTGGCCTTTGAACTACTAAGGGTTTCCATTAGGTGATAATCCCATGCGAGAGAGCTTTTGGAACCCGATGGTGGAAAGGTTTGAAAAAAGACTAGTATCCTGGAAAAAGAACTACCTCTCTCTCGGTGGGAGAATTACATTAATTAAGGCCACGCTTGCTAACTTACCCATCTTTTTCCTATCGGTGTTTAAAATCCCAGTGAAGGTTGCTAACAGATTAGAGAAGTTTATGAGAGATTTCCTGTGGGAGCCAGGAGAGGAGAAGAGGGATCACAAAGTTAGCTGGGAGATAGTGTGTAGGAGTAAGTCTTGTGGTGGCGTGGGGCTTGGGAGTATCAGGAGAAGGAATATGACTCTGTTGGGGAAGTGGTTGTGGAGGTTCCCTATGGAGAAGGAGAAGCTATGGGCTAAAATAGTGGCAAGTATACATGGGCTGGAGGACAATGGATGGGACGCTGGAGTCAGAGCTAGGACCACAAGCAACTCTCCTTGGAAAGCCATTCATGACTTGCTACCAGTTTTCTTCCCTAATATCAGGTATGACTTGAATTCCAGTAACTCCATAAAATTTTGGGAACAAACCTGGGTGGGGAGCGCCCCTTTAAAGGATCAATTTCCTTCTTTGTATGCTCTTTCTGATTTGAAAAATGAGCCGATCTCGTCTTTCATCACCCTGTCCTCTTCCATTTCTGGGATTGGGTGGAACTTGGGTTTAAGAAGGGATTTGAGGGACTCAGACCTCGGCAGTATTTCGAGCCTTATTGCACTTCTTGATAACGTTGTCTTAGACCCCACTAGGGAGGACTCTAGAATTTGGACACCTACCCCCAATGGCTTATTCTCTTGTGCCTCGTTCTTCAAAGTCTTAAGTCAGTCCACCAGTCTTACCTTCCCCCCTTTCCCTGTTGGTGAGGTTTGGTGCA